TATGCACCCTTACTCGGACAAATTCCGGGCTGAAGATCACTTTCGATGTACATCGGAACCAATGGAATTACAGAATTCTGTGTAACAATACTAGCTGCCGAACCAATTTTGTCACGGCAGATTCTCAATTTTGATTGGCTAACGACCGTGATTTGCAATGTTTTGGCAAGTCTGGTAACTCACCCATAAAAAAAAATTTTCCGGAACGCGATTTTTAGCCAATTAGATTGAAGGATCAGGTGTAACATAAAATCATAACAATCAAATTAAGCGAAAGATTTTAAAGTAATAAGCTTCTTCTTTAGGGTTAGGAATACGGCTAAGCGAGGATATAGCTTATATCAAAATTACACAAGGAATTTTTTTTGTTAGAACGCAGAAGGCAGTTTCATAGGCAAAATTTCGAGTTATAAGTGATTTTTTAAAAAGACGTGATTTTCACGTACACCTGATCCTTTTATCTGATTGAACTACCCCAGGATCGCCACCAAAAATTTTCACGCTCACGTGCTGATCTACAGGAATTATCCATTAGGTGATGATAATTTGGTGTAACATAACACGATCAGGAAAATTCAAAACAAACGTTCGTTTTTGAGAAAATTAGGAAAAATGCTTGTTTTCCGAAAATTAGCATAAGAAACTACCTTCTGCGCTCTAACAAAAAAATTTCCTCGAGCAATTTTACTATATTTACCACTAAATCATAACCCTCATACTAACCCTAATCCTACGTAAATAAACTTTAAAGAATTTACCGCATATCACGTGAACGTGAAAATTTTGGTGGCGATGCAGGGGAAGATTATATAGATCACCAATCAAAATCATGAGATTTTGTTTACACGGCTGAAGAAATAAAAAAATCAAAAAAACGAAAAAATATGAAAAACGGCAGTCTAAACCTGTCTTGGTATATTAATAAAAAATGTCGGGAAGGGAATTTTTCATTTTCCCGACAATGTCAAAACCCAGACAATTAGCCCCGCATTAGATTAGGATTAATGTTAGTTCTGGTCAAGTTTGATTCTATTAGGTGATCGATGATCCCAACGGATCATCGTAGTTTAAAAAATTCATATTTGTGGTCACTTATCGTTATTGAATGAAATAGAGATTTTTTCTGGTGATATAGGCTGGCTTATCAGCCGGGTGGGCGGGTTGCCTTTGACCAGGGCACAAAATTTTCGGGTGATGTAACCTGCTTTTTTTTTCGGTAAAAACTCCTGCAATGTATTTATAAAATTTTAAAACTACGCTGGAAGTCAACTTAACTAAACGGAACCTCCGGTATTTTACAATAGAATTTTGTGCCCTGCCTTTGACCCATATCTCTGTGGTCCGGTCCAGTTGAAATAGTGAATTTTTTCATCCAATAGAAATTCATTATATAACTAATAATTATTGGTTAAAAGCATGTGTAGAACGTTTTCATGCATCCATAAATGCGATTTTCTAGTGACCGAATAGTGCGCAAATATTGTAACTCAATTTCATATTGAGATCAAAATTATATTTTCATTTTTGCAATTTTATTTGGCTAAAAAATTTGTTAGTAATATGGTCAGCCCGGTCGACCAGCCCGAGTAATTTTGGCGGCCGGATCAGCCCAAGAGTTTGGCATCTGCCAATGTCGCTATTAATAATAATAATACGTTTTTGATCATAAATTGGCCAACCATAGAAGCAGTAAAAAAATATACAGTAATTGAAATTTAAATCTTTAAATATATATTAAATTTATTAAAACGATATTACTTCAACCAAATTAAATGAAAAACAGCTATTTCTTAGCTGGAAGGTCTGCCTCTAGAGCCTGATCGGAAGTGATCTGCAGCCCTGGAATTTTCTTGACATAAGGGTACCCACCCTTGTCCATACCGTGGGTCACGAGGTACATGTGCAGCCCGGAACGTTGAATGGCCACCTCTTGGTGAACCATTACCTCTGCCTCTTCCTCGCCCTCGCCCACCACCTCTCACAAACTCGTAATCTTCTCTTGCCAACAATGGTGGATCTAATTTAACATTTCTTAAAAGAACAGACTTATGCATTTGGTGACTTGTTTTTGCAGGAAGATTATACACAACACTAATGGCAAAGCAATTTAACAGTTAGATAACAAATTTTAATACTAAAAAATAGTTAAAAAATTGTTTATACCTTAATGACCTATCGTTAACAATATCATGAGTGTTTTTGTCTGGCAAAGGTGTATAGAAGGTACTTTCCGGTATACAGTTTGGGTCGCGTGAAACAAATCCAACCAGCTTATCACTGATCATAGGGTCTAATGGAACGGGCTAATATATATTTTTATTATTTACAAATTTTTGGCAATGACCTTATCAACATAATGTGGTATAAAAATTTACCTCTTCACTTTTTCTCTTAGAATACAGTACGCACAACGCATCATACAATTTATGCTTGTTGCTGAAACACAAAATCTCCGATCCCAGGGTATTTCGTGCAATTTCATCTGCAGCTAGATGAGGATATAGTGACTCTACAGCCTTCAGTAAACGTTCTTCTTCAATGAATGGGAGCAATACGACACCTAAAAGAAAGGCAATAAAATAACAAAATATTAAGGTAACATTCAATATATGAAGAATTTACATTTATTACATACCTTGCCAAGCATATCTTTTCCCATTTAAGTCTATCCTGAAATCACTAGGATAGAAATCAATTATTTCGCTGTCTTGACTAGTCATTAGTTGGTGAAATGGTACGGGCAAATGTTCTTTACTATGTTAAAAATATATAATTATTAGCGAATGTCGCTTTTTAAGATCCGAAACAGAGTAAAAAATTATTATTAAAAGTAAGTTATTTACCTGCCAGCTGGTAATACACCCATTAATTGTTCAAATGGTTTAAATGGTTCACCTAGTTCGAAATTTATTTTTAGATCACCAATATCAATGAAGTCGGAAGCAAAAGGTGAATAGTGGTATGGATAGTACCACTTCCAAGACGGAACGCCCTATATTATTAAATGGTATGCATTAGTATATAGCCAAGAATTTCGGTTCGAAAATAACAATATAAAAAGACACATGCCTGGAAATAATATCGCAAAACCCAACATAGGCCTTCAATATAACTCCTTACTATGCTGAGAAGGTCAATGATTTAAAGTCAAATTATGAATCATATTAAAATAATGAGAGATATTACGTAATATGAATGGAATTTTTCTCAATATATTACGTAATACCTGTCATGCCATTAATAAAAATATAAAATATTACTTTGAGCGAAATTGTTCATCAGGCAACTCGACATCAAATTTATCCTTGTAATATCGCTTTTTAAAGCCAGGCTCCCACAGTCTGATATATAAAAAATAAAAAATATAACTCATAAGCAACAACTTTTAACAAAAAAAAAAAAAAAAAAAAAAAAAAGACCAATACCTTATGGAGTCTTCTTGTTCTGCATCATCTGAGGGATCTACTTGAGCAGGTTCACCCGATTCTTCTATTATATTTTTAGCATCAACATGAGTTTCTTGAGTACTATCATCCGAAAATTTTCTTTTTGTCCCTGCAGAATTTGAAGATAGAATTGTATCTTCATCACTCGTTGACACTTTTAGAGTTTCCGTTGAGAATTGAGGTGTAGGTGTGATTATTGTCGTTTGAGAGGATTGAAGTGTAATCAAATTTTCGGTAGGCGTCGCATCAGAAGTGGCAGTATGAACCAGGGGTTCTACTCCATGAACCGGAGGGTCTACTCCATGAACCGGAGGGTCTACTCCATGAACCGGAGGCTCTACTCCATGAACCGGAGGTTCTAATCCACTCAATTCAGCCTTTAATAATTGAGCAGCACTCAAATTAGCCATACGTAGCGCCTGCCGATTGGCAACAACCTCTTGATTTGTTCTCGCACGGATTTGCGAGTCAAGACCTTTAACGGTAAGAAGAGGCATTCCAACGGGCAAATGATCTAAGCCTGACGCAGGGTATACACCAGTTGGAGAATATTTATCATTAATCCGTCGGCGCTTGGGCGCAGGTTGCGAGGCACGCCTTTGATTATCTTTAATAAAAAGATTTTAATAAAAAATTTTAATAAAAGTTTTAATATATTAAAGATTAATGGTTGAAATGTTATCATTTTACCTCTATGCCTTCTAATGAAAATTTCATCTTCCATTTTACCTAATTCAGTCACCAAATACTGCATCCTTTTTAGATCTACCTAATCATTATTAATATATAAACTTATATTTAATTTTCAAAATAAATAACTAAATAAAAAAAAAAAACCAATAAATAAAATAAAGTAAAATGAAAATCATATTCTATATACTTGCATTTCCACAATTTGTTATATATCCATTCATTACTTGTAGACAACGTTTCCATATAGATATCAAAGTATCTATTGCGCCCTCCCTTATTTCTAAGGAAGGTAAGTGCGGGAGAAAATCGTTTCCAACGAAAAAACAAAGAAATACCCAATCATCAATCGCATTTTCCAGGTCAAATGGCCAAGGCAAAGATGGTACTCTGAGTTCAATTCCAAGATATTCGCGAAGAGTCTCTATATTTAAAAGTACGTATGGTTTATTGTAATCCACATTTTTCCCATTATCTTTTGATTTTGGGCGAGTTACTAAATCGGCTTTACATAGTTATTATTATTTAAAAAAAAGATCGATAATAGTCAATTTATTTAATCAAATTATTAAGGCTATCACATGGTATTCAAAAATAACTACCTCTACATTGGTTGGCAATGTGATCCATGCGACCACATATATAACAACCCTTAAAACTGCCGTCATTAAAAAAAACATCTTCACGCAAAACTTTGAAGTGAGGTTCATGAGTACTCAACGAAAGCATAATCAAATCAGCATCCTGTTATCAAAACAAATTCTTAATTAATAGGAAAACTTATGCAGAAATTATTATCAAAAATACCCACCAAGCCATATATAACATGCCGTGTGTTAGGGTCATGGTAAGGACTGGAACGCTGTCCGCGAATGAAATCCATGATTTTATGTTCACCTTCACCTGGAACACTAGCATCAGATAGGATGACTTTTAACTATGTTACAAAAGAATTGAATTGTTAATGACAAAATTTTATGAAGCGAATCAATAATAATGATTAAAAAAAAACAAAAAAAAAAAAAACATAAGTTGAATTTACATTTTTCCAACCAGGATCATAATTAAGCTTTTCAGCGATCCAATATCGTAAGCATTTGGCAAGATTTGCCATAAAAGGAGTGCCTATAATGATTTTAAAAAATGAGAATAAATCGTACAATATACAAACATACTGCAATTTACGATCAGATCCGATAAATACCTGGCGTTATACAATTACTGTCGAATGATTTCTTTTGAATCAATTCCTCATCGATTTGTGTGCCAGATGCTATTGCATGTTGAAATAAGTCAATACATATAATTTATATTATTAATACATTATTAATACATACCTTTAAGATTTTCAATTTCCTTAGCTCTTTCTTCGTTTTTTATTCTATCTTCTTGTGCTGTACGAAAACGTCGTGATCGCTGTTGATTCATTTTGGCTCGAGGAGCCACACCATCTAATGCAATGATGAAAACGTTTTATTAATGCATTTTAAGAAAAAGAAAATTACTAATAACATAACAAGTCTTACCTATGGCAAGATATAAAACTTTTCTTGGCCGTACTATGCTAATAATTCTTTCTGTATATTTAAAGATTTCAATCATCATGTCGTCTTCAGTTTCTGGTGCTGGCTAATTAAATTAGAGAATTAGTCAATTAACTTCATTTTGATTGCTTATTCAATTAACTTCATTTTGATTGCTTATTCAATAAAGAACTGTGCATACCTTGCCTTCAGGATGACAGCAAGGATGTATTATACCATTCATGTCCAGGTAAAGGTTGTCAAATTCTAAATTATTAGGATTCGGTTTCGAAATGTCTATGGGAATCTCTACGCCATTGATCTCAGCTGGCAGTTCTTCGACGACCTTTTCAATGATTTTTGGATATTTTTTTGAAAGCCATCTATAAATTCGTTAATCTTTTGTAAATAAGCAAGATCTATTATACCATAATAAGGTTATAAGCCTACACTTACCTAAAAAGAGCCGGAACTCCCATTATGTTTTTTTTTTTGAACTATTGGAGATGCTGAACAGCGAGGAGAATACTCGAACGCTAAAAGAATAAACCTGTATTAATATAATTGTGGTGTAACGTCATTTGTAGTTTCAAATAGATCACGTGTAGCTGATTATGGCAATGATATGTGTGAAGTGCAATTTATATCAACTATTCTTTAAATCATTACATTTGGGTAATTATTTTTGAATTCAGACCAAAATGTTATTACGTCATATAAAATTGGTCCGGGTTCAAAAATAACCATTTAGATAAAATTATTGTCTTCTAAAATATACGTATAAATAAGATTGAAATTAAATATTTTCAAATTTAATAACGATAAAGTGTAAATACTTTAATTAAGTGTATACGTAAAATACTTAATGAAGTCTAATTCTGTAATTTAGGTAATATAATTTGATTCAGCGTTCCTGATGGATCTTCCTGATAGGGGAAAAAAATCGATTTACATACCGTTTCTGATAGGGCTTCCAAAATACTATACTATATAATGAAAAAAGTTAGTATTAGGGTTCGTTTTCAAATAAATTTTTTTTTAACTCGGTATTCCGATCCATCAGGAATAGTATTTTTGCGCCGTTGAATGATTATCTAATATATACTAAACTTTTAGCGTTAGTGTTAGAAAAAAAATTTTTAACCAATTAAACTTAACACAAGTCATGTGACTATCCCGAGACACCATTCCCCGTTTTTCGTGTAACATCAATCTTGATAGCAATAATATATTTTTTTTCGAACTTTAGACGAAGATATAACAATAACTAACTACTCATCCGAGCTTGATAAAATTTTTTTTTGTTTTAATTTAATAAGTCATAGAATTAAATAAAAAAATTCATCGACTTTAGGTAGTTAATTATCGAAATATTATCGCTCAAAGATTGAAAAACACGGTCTTGATCACCTAAAATTTTTTTAAACGAGGATATCTCGATAACTACCTATCCAAAATCGATGAAAAATTTTAATTCTATAGGATCATAGAATTAAAATAAAAACTTTTTAACGATTTTGGATAGGTAGTTAGTAACAATGATCCTCCCGTGATCTTGATATAGTGATCGGGGATATCCTCGTTCAAAGTTTAAAAAAAATTTAAGCGATCATCAGAAGACCGCGGTTAAGTTTTTTTCAAACTTTGAGCTATAATATCTCAATAACTATCTACCTAAAGTCGATGAATTTTTTTATCTAATTTTATGATTTCATTGAATTAAATAAAAAATTACATCGATCTTGGATAGGTAGTTATTATTACTCAAAGTTTGGAGAAAACTTAGTCGCGGTCTTGATATCTCGATAATTACCTATCCAAAATTGGTGAAATTTTTTTTATTTTAATTCTATGGAATCATAGAATTAAAATAAAAAAAATCTCATTAAATTCTATTAGGCCATGCAAAATTAATTAATCGGTTTTCATAATCCGGTCTTGTTAAAATTTGAAAATTTGTAAAAATTTTAATAACCGAGTGGATTTTTAAAAAAATTTCATAAAATTTTTATATACATGATGTGTGGCCTTAGATAGATATCGAGATATCTTCGTTTAAAGTTTTAAAAAAAATTAGTCTCGTTTTTATTTGATAGCCATTTTGAATTATGACATGATTTCAAACGAAGCTATCTCGACAACCATCCAATTATTTTAATTCTACAGATTCGTAGAATTATAATAAAAAATTCGCATCAGATTCCGTTTGTTAGTTGTTGATATCTTTGTTTAAAGTTTTTTTTTAAAACAAAAATTAGCCGCATTTCTATTTGATAGACGTTTTAAATTATAACACGATTTTGTATAAAATTTCTAAAAAAAATAAATAGATGTATCGAACTAATGCACGAAGAATCTATAATATTATTAAGATACTATGTACTATCTGATATATTGCATGTTATAAGCTTATAATTGTGTGGATTTTTTGTGAACTCCTGACAGAACTCCTAATCATGGAGACATTATTTTACGAAAATATGATGTATGTACTGTACATGCAATGCTAAACGATAATACTTTAATTAAATCAAATCTATATCTTTGTTGTCATAATACAGTATAACCGATTTATAAATATCTTTGTTACGCGTAAAATTATTTATTTTCCTAACAATACTTTTCAAGAAATAATGTAAACGGACTACCATTATTATTCAAGTCCAAATATTTACATAGAACTAGAACTAATTCTATTTATCCTATTACTTCTGTTTTAGAGAAGGAAATATATTCAGATATGTAAAATGCATTAAATTATAAGACATTTAACGAAATATATACATACGAGTTGCACGTAAAGTCTTCCATGCACTTGTTTCTCAAACTCAATTCGCTCATTCTGTAAAATTTTATTAAATAAGCATAAACGGCAAGATAAAAAACATCGAAACACATACAAGTAAGTTATTTAAGCATACCCAGAATTCCTCTTGTCCTTTTTGAAAGCCATTCTCTGAAAACTATTGCTCCAAAGCGGTCAGAAAAACCCAGGTAACAAATCTGCTAGCTTCCAAATCATAATCTTATTTTAGATATTGTGACCAGGTAGAATTCTACTCATGATATGTTAGCATGGACACTGGAAATTCGTGAAGCATTAGACGCAACTGCAAGCTTAGATGACCTTAAATTATTACAGCTTAGTAATGACGAATGGGTTAAAGAAATAATAAACATTTTAAAGATGGTTATATGAACAACCAATATGATTTCATCCGCAAAGTATCCAATGCTCTCTTCCACTATACCATTTTACAATTATTTAATTAATCATATTATAATAATCCCAACAACTCGTTATGAAATTACTGCTGCAATGAACGCAATTCTAAATATTTATAACATTTTGATCCACAATTAAAAACTAGGTTATTATGAGGAACATAAATTGGGTCAAGAATTATTAAAAATATTGAAACTGTTTTTAATATTTATAAAAATAATTATAAACCATGCTCTCATGAAGATATCAATTATGAACCATGCTCTCACGAAGATATCAATTATAATCAGGCAAATAATATTATTAATGATGATTCTCTCTTGGATTATATTTACGGAAATAAAAAAAAAACAAGTAAAATTGAACAGCAAAATTGAAGTTGAATTGTATTTGAGTACTCCATGTGCAAACCAAAACAAAATATTCTTAAATGGTAGAAGAATCGCGAATCTGAATATCACGCATTTGGTTATGATGGCTAGAGACTATCATGCAATTATTGCAACTAGTATTCCAGTCTATATATCATGCAATTAGTATTCCAGTCAAACGGTATTTTCTGATGAAACCGACTTAATTGATGTTAAAGATGTTAAAAGTAGTCTTTGAACGGATACTATTCGTTCATACACGTGTCTAAATTCATGGTGGGAATAAAGTGTTATTTAAAAAATCATTTGAGGCCACCATCTTAAAGCATTAATAATATATATAAACTCGTACAACTTCAGAAATTATAAAATGTTAAAGAATGGCATAAATTAATTGTAATTAAAAGTATATATATATTCATTTCATTTTATTTTTATATATATATTTTTTATTAGCATTAGTATCAGACAAAGCGATAGTAAAATTCTGATAATTTAAGTAGTCAGTAAAAACGCGGGTCTTGTTCTGGTCAGGTATGGGCCAACCGATCAACTACTCTGACGACCGTTTCGGAGCATTACTGAAAGCCTTACAATTAATTGTTGAGCTTCCTCTACAAATACTGTAGCTTCCTCTGTTATAATTAACAAATCTGTTAACTAACGATATATATATATATGCTAGTGAATAATTTGTGTGAAAACAAAGAATGTCCTACCGAGCTGATTCCCAAGTGATCCAATTTTTGCTTCTTGCTGCTGAACTATTGTATCCTTTTGTTTAATCCCATCGTCCCTTTGTTTAATTTCGACATTCTTTTGTTTAATTTCGGCATTCTTTTGCTTAATTTCGACATTCTTTTGTTTAATTTCATCATCCTTTTGTCTAATCGCATAATCTTTTTGTTTAATTTGATCCTCCTTTTGTTTAATCACATAGTCTTTTTGTTTAATTTGATCGTCCTTTTGTTTAATCACATAGTCTTTTTGTCTAATTTCATCGTCCTTTTGTTTAATCACATAGTCTTTTTGTTTAATTTCATCGTCCTTTTGTTTAATCACACAGTCTTTTTGTTTAATTTCGTCACTCTTTTGTTTAATTTCGATATTCTTTTGTTTAATTTCATCATCCTTTTGTTTAATCACATAGTCCTTTGGTTTAATCATATCGTCCCTTTGCTTAATCACATCATCCCTTTGTTTAATTTCATCGTCCTTTTGTTTAATCACATAATCTTTTTGCTTAATTTCATCGTCCTTTTGTTTAATCACATAGTCTTTTTGTTTAATCACATGATCTTTTTGTTTAATTTCACCGTCCTTTTGTTTAATTACATATTCATTTTGTTTAATCACATCGTCCTTTTGTTTAATTTCAAAATTCTTTTGCATAATTTCTTTATCTTTCTCTTCATCTTTTTGTTGAAAATCTTCAATAATACCAACAGGACGATTATTCCATTCAAACTGAAGAGCTAGTAAAAGATCTTTAACTTCTTCCTCTAGATTCTGGGCAAAAAGTTCAAATGGAAGTTGAGTGTGTGCCGCTCTAGAATTATACGATTCAGGGGTCTTTGTTATTATAAAATATTAATGAGTTAGTATCAAGGAGAGATTAAATAGCATTAACTTTGGTAACGTCAATATAAACAATACTTTTAAACTGGCCAGCTCCGGATCTATTGATGCAAAACGCATTTGTGTTTGAGAGCTTATAAATGAGATAACTTGATTATGAACTTCGAAAAGTAACTTTCGTAATTTTGAATTTTCCTGTAATAAATCTTTATCACGGGCATCAGCATCACCATCGCCTTGCTTAATTTTTTCCGAATTCTTTATAAATAATTAAACAATGATTAACGAATATATATTCATGGCAATGTAGATCGACAATAATAATATAACATACTTTTTCCATATGACTCAAACCACCAAATAAAACAGGAACATCAACGTCAGAACTAATGAATGAAGCGGCATAATTCGTGTTTCTCAATACTTGTTTCCGTGGTGGGTTTACACCCTGAGGTCCACACATGGAATATTTATCATTTAGAACTTTTTGCATTTTTTCTTTAAATCTAGTGTATTCCGTATCGCGTTTTCTAATGTCATGCTATAAATCAAAGAAATCTCTCTTAAATGAAAGTTATGCAAGTTTTTTGAGACGAATTTTTTTTATTATTTTTTTTTACCATAGCTTGCGATTTGACATTTTGCAAATTAGCTTTCGTTTTAATTAATTCATCTTTTGTTGACCGATGTCTTTCGGATTCAGACAGTAATTGGTCTTCCGTTTTACTGATGTAAATAAAATTTTTAATAAGACATATTTTTCTCGAAGAATATGGGATGAAAAATGGAAAGAAAATGCGTTACATTAATTTAGCTCTCAAAGTATCTACTTCACGTTCGCTTAACTCTGCTCTCGTTTTTAAAGTTTTCTAAGGAAGAAATTAAAGTTAATGCAGTGAATAAAGAACAGGTTGATAGTAAATTAACTTACTATGGTAAATGTCAGCAATTCATAATCACTTTGCAATTTCTGATGTTGATCGTGCATTTCTTCTCGATACGCAGCATCTTTTTGTTGTTGCTGTAATAACGCGGATATGCAATCAACAATTTTGGTAACAGATTTTTCATCATTATTATTAAAAAAATCTAAAGAAGAATGATAGCCGCAAGCGTTTAATTGTTGATTTAAGTATATAATTGCATCTTTTAAATTTAATTGTCTGGAGTCATTTAAACTATTTTAAAAACATGAAAGAAATTAATAAAGTCGATGTACTCGAACTAGAAATAATAAAAAACTTTAAAACCTACTCTTCGTTAATCGTAAACTGCTGAGTAGTATTAGGGTTATAATGTTCCTCGGGATTTACGTTTATGTTGTCAACCATCATCTTTATTATGTTTATTATAAGAAGGAAACGCTTAAACAAGTTTAAGAACGCGCTATACAATGATTATAAGATTATGTAATTTATATGCTTTACGCGTTACCTAGCCAATCAAAATTGACGATCATATTCATGGGATAACTACCCCAGCATTCATAGAAAGATAGAAGATCTAATCAAAATCGATCATCAAAACTTAAAAAACTTAATATGCGAATAAAATTATTGTTAGCGAAGCTATTTTTACTTTTTATTTAAAAGTAGTTTATTTTTTTCATCGCAACCTTTTTTTAGAGATGAATCACAATCTTTAATCCATACAATTAATGAGACATACTACTTATACACATGATTGACCCCACGAAGTTACGCCCACAAATCTAACGGTTTAACTTTATAATATCAGATATAGTACCATGCGTGACAAATAATTTAGATCAATTTTAGATCAATTTTTTAAAGGCAATTTCTATTTGTACCCCCGTGTTTGAAACACGGGTGTATTAAAAACTCAAAATTTTGCTTATGAAACCACTTTTCGAGTTCTAACAAAAAAAAATCTATGTAAAATTTTACTATAAGCTACCCTAACCTCTAACCTAACCTCTAACCTAACCTCTAATCTAACCTAACCTTAATTCGATTTAATTTTTTATCCCATGTCTCCTAATGGTCGCCTGTGATACTCCGCACTGATATTTTCACACGGCTAATCACCTGTGAAAATATCAAAAATTATTCCACGGCCTAACATCTCTTGGATCGGGTAAGTGCCTTATTTTTTATAGTTACGATTGTCTTGAATTTTTTACATTAAACATTGTATTGCGTGAAGGACATATTATGTAATAAACATTTAATATTATAATTTATATTAAACGAATTAATAAATTAAATAATTAAAACAGTTTAAATTGTAGCGATAGTGCAAATATTTATTTAATTACCAATAAAACATAGAGAATTATTAGTTTTAATCATTTACAGATTTCTATAGCTATTGTTAAATTACTACGCAAAGAAATTTCTTGTAAAAAAAATTATTGTGACAAATAAAATGTAACATTGGTAAATTGACAGTTATTAAAAATAGAATGTTGTGTTTGAAATTCACCGCCTTGAATACCTTGAACTATATTAATATCTTGTGTAGTAGATGTATTGATATTAATATGAGATCCAGTAATTTCATTAAGTACAGAAGGAGATTCTTGATTCATCGGGCTTATATTTGATGCTGGTTCGATGGTATTAATTAAAGTTTTCATTGTATCAAGTTTTTGACTTTCATTTATAGTTTTATATGCACGACACCTTGAGAACTTTTATGCCCTGTGATATTCATAATAGAATCTTCTGGTATATTAGCATTCTGAAGTATCTGGGCTACAGTTTTTCTTCCAGAATGGTTCGTTAAAGCACCATCTGGAAGTTTTACTTTTACTTTTTGCCCGATATCTTTCATAAAATTTCCTACTCTATTTAAACCACAGTGTGTTTTAAGATACCAAATGCCAGTTTCACGCCAATTTTGATTTGGCTGCAAATAAAAATTATTAGATGCATTTGATGGGCATTTAGAAATATATTTGGTAAGATCACTAACAGGTCCCAAAGTATCAAATTGATCAGCTGGTAATTGAATACATTGTGCATTTCCTCCTTCAATTCCTCGTTGATTGTTTTTGCTACGATAATGATAAAATAGAATACTTTTATTAGGCTGAACTTGAAATTGATTAATTTGAAGTGAATAATGTTCACCACCTCTACATGCAAAAATTGTTGCAATATGAAAAAAGACTCTATACAATAGACTCTGTGGTGTATTAGGATCTAAAAATTCATCATTAAGAATTTCTCTAACTTGTTGAGCTGTTAAAGCAACTGATCCTTCTTTTTCCCCTAATCCTTTTTCTTGCAAATCTTTTATTTTGCTATTCAAAATATCATACAAATCTGGAAATTGATATTTATCATGTAAATTAAAACCACGAATTGCTTCATTTTTGCTAATATATCTATTTATTCCATCGATAGCTTGTTTAATAGTCTTAGCTTTGTATTCGCCTCCATCTTTTTTTGTCATTTGTGCAATAAACTCACATAATTGTTGTTCAATTAAAGAAGGATCTTCAATACTTTCAATTGGTGTTACATAATTATAATGTTGACGAAATTCATTAAACTTCTTCATCCAGTTTTGTGTAGCTTTTACCGTATTTGGTACTGCAGCTTTTTTCTGGTAAAAATCTAGTTTTTGCTCCAAATCAGATTTTGGTGTGCTTGTAGTAACACTATCATCAGAAATATTTTCTGGAACATAAATGCATACACTAGTAAAAACAGGTGCTGGTGTGTTTTGAAATTTTTTTTTTTTGCCTTTGGTTTGGCATTTTTTTTGAGCGAAAGAATTGAAGAAGTGATAAGATCAGTAAAATAATCACAGGGCGTTAGGATTCAGGGGATAAAACAGATATTTAATGGGTTGTCATAAATATCATGCAAAATCACAGATAATCATTTATTATGCGTCATTGCGACACAGCCGCAATGACGTATAATAAATGATTACCTGTGATTTTGCATGATATTCACGGCAACCCATTAAATATCTATTACTTCTTTAACTTGTATATTAAATTTGTTTATAAATTAGACCCATGTTTCAAACACAGGATAAATTTATAAATTTTCTTTTTTAAAATATGATTTATATGATTATGTGATATAAAATGCATGTGATTTTTAATTTTTCACTATTTAAAAAATTGGGTCACACCAGATACTATATGCAGCACTATACGAGCAGACCCAGCATCGCCCACAAAAAAATGTAGCTTGCATTATAATTAAAGCTCTTGATTTTATGTTTTTTATTTATTTATTTTATTTTTTATTTTTATTTTATTTTATTTATTAATAATATGAATAACAATGACAAATTTTAATAATAATACTTACTTATTATAATTTTTTAATCTTGAAATCATAAGTACATAATTGAAAGTTATGAATACTACATAATTAAAAAACATTTATGAATACCAATACATAGTATTATGATTTAAATCTTTCCAAGTGCGAGGAGTAGTTGTTCAATTTTCAAGTTTTCTAATATCTTTAACCATAGTTTCTAAAGCTTTAAAATTTGGACAAATTGATTCTAGCCAATGATTTAGATTAGGTTTATTTCGTGACATATTCAAAATTGCTTTACTCTAATAAATAGTAATGCGAATAAATAAATTAATAATAGTCTTATAAAAAAAAACAAAATAAAATAAATAATAGTTCTTCTTCAAGCACATCACATAAATAATTTAAAACTTGTTCATCTGAATTTTTTTGATCGTTGTCACTATCAAGTAGAAAATCATTTTCACAAGATACAATTGAATTATAATTTCTAGAAATATTGTCAATATCAATACAAGAGCTTTCAAAATTAAAAATATTGCAAATATCGCTTTTATATACTCCAATAATTGGGTAGTCACTATTCTATTGTACCTATATTTATTGTAAATTTTAATAATAAGCCATCATTTTGAAATAATAAATAATAGTAATTCATCTACTGTACCTTTTTAAAAAAATCACTATCAACTTGACCAACTCTTGTAATTAAATGTTGACAAAGAAAAAAATAGCTTGAAAGATATGTATAACATAAATATGTCCAGTTATTTAAATTTGTTTTATATTTATCACTCATACTAACTTGTTTTTTTTCAAGATTTCACCACTCTTTTTTAAATTTTTTTCTCCATGGTACTATATACCGATTCTGTTGTAGTAGATTAATTTTATAAAGTTGTTGATTAACAACTTTATGAATAAGAATATAAATTAAATAGTCAATACGTGTTCTGTGAAATTTATGTAAATAATCATATTTGATATGACACCAATGTGATTTGACAATCATAGTTGTCTTAATATGGCTAATCTTTTTGCTTGCTACCCTTGCTCATAAAATCCATTTATTATATGAATACCATTCTATCTATAAATAGAGCCAAAGTTTAAATAAATTGTGATTTCGGCAAAATTTATGAATTTCAGTTACTGATTCTTTCCATATTGTTTCTGAATTCATTATATATTCGTCATTAGACTTTGGTAATAACATATAATAGTTATAATGTTTGTTAATTAAATTAAGAACATTGTCTCGAAGTTTCAAAGGGCAAAGTGCATTAGCTTGATTTAAATTATCCATTTAAAATTCCTATTGTGGATCAATCCCTGAACATTCCTGATTTGCATTAATGGGATTATACTTATAATTTCTAATGTTTTTTTTTGATCTTAATCTTTCCTTTATAGCACGTTGTACATGCCATGCACATAACTGTAAATGTGCTTCTGGTCATATAGCTTGTGCTGCATTTATTTCCGAAAATGCTTTGTCAACAAAAATAAATAAAAAGCTAATTAATTGCTGAAGCTTCAAAGCTTCCATCCATTTTATAAGTATCTCACTAATATTTCTATTTTTTCCTGATTCAATTAAAAAATAGCTTATAGGAAACCCTGTTCTATCAATTACACCCATTAAAGCATATAATTCTCATTCTATATTATTTGTGCCATATGTTGAATCGATAATAATAGCTTCAATCGTATCATGTGGAAGTGTATTATAAAGGACTATTATAAAACCAAAAGCACCAGTTGGAGTAGTTAAATTAATAATAAATTCCTGTATAAATTCATTTAATAACAAGTATGCTGATTTTAATGAATTTGAATCACATTGATAAATTTTTCGAAATTCCATATACCACCAATAATATGTTTGTTTAACACTTAAATAATCGCAGCCAACAAGCTTTTTTTCATGAATTAGTTGTCAAAGTTCAGAAACTGAAATATTTATATTATTGTAAATAAATTTACAAATTTCCATTGTAGTTTGATTATGAATTGGTTGTGAATGTAGAATTGAGTACACATAATTAATTTTAACTAAACTTATTTTGTTAAACTCAATACTA